TCCGACATTTTTCATCTCTCTGACCTACAAAAGCTTCCTGTGGTAGGGTCCGGGAGGGCAGCATCCCCCCGCCCGCGACCCTCGATGCCAGAAGGCTTTTATAATTTGAACCCATATTTTATTGATTGTTTGAGCTCGGGCCCATGAATAACTACTAAATGTCTATCTTTTTCTCTTATAATTGAGAAATGTAACATAAAAGTGAGAGGTGCTAATTATAGTAAAACCTTCTACCGGACGTAACCCTAATTTAAGGATGAACCAAGATAAAAATTATTGTGTCTCGATTTCTTTTCTTGCTTCTACTCTCTATTTTCTTATGATTATGCGCCGAATCCTAACACGTTGCCCTCATCCACACCCAATCCCCTCTCTCTCTCTCTATAACAGGCCAAGTAGCTATCAAGAGCCATCACCGACAGCGTCGAGTTGCTGCTCAATGCCACAGTCTGACCCCTAATGTCGACGACAACACCACACCCTTACTCACCACCTGCGCACCCATCCCCTGGCATCTCTGTCTGTGGAGAGATCGTTCGCAATTCACAACGATAAGGCCACGCAAGCTCGGCCTGAGCCTGCGGCTCTCGATCTACAAGGCCGTGCAAGGTCGACCTCAAGCTCGCGAGGGTTGCAAACGGCCGCGAGCTACACAAGCTTCGTATCAGAATTTTAGTAAAGAGATAGTTCACAAATTTAATTAACCAAAAACAAGTTACGTGATTTTATTATAAATACACGAAAACAAAAATAAACATAGCCACACAGCCTCCCTAAAAATAGGGGTGTGCAAAACGGACCACCCAAATTAGAAATTGCCCGAACCAGACCGAACTGGCCGGTTGGCTCCGGTTCCCGGGAGTGTCGGTCGGGTTCCTAATTTTAAGGGGGAATTGGAGCGACTACATATATATTTTTTTATTTCGTAAAAAAAATTAGTAAAATGTGAACTAAACCCTAAGTGACCAGATCCATTGGACCAGTCCGGTCCGGTCTCCGGTTCTCAATTTTGGGAACTGGGATCCGATCGCCCTTACCTATAATGTACAAACTTTAGATTCACGTACTATTTTTCTCTTTACAAATTTTAGATTCACATGATCATCGAACAAATATTTCAAAGAAATGTAACCAATCGAGAAAGCTAAAGTTAAAGCTGTGATCACACACACCTTTTATCAAGTTGCAAAACTCAGTTCCAAGGCCCAAAAAAAGAAGGGTAACAAAAATTAAGGACAACATGGAGAGAGACAGGCACACAAGAATTTAGATTCTGCTAACAAAAGAATGCGGCCGGGGCATAAACAAACGAGCCTCCTTTTGCTTTGTCGGATTCGCTTTTAATTAAATTCGTTTTCCCCCTCTTTAATTCTCGCAAAATTTCTAGACCTGTCATGGTTCCAATTTGGACTAAATTATTGCAATTTTCGTGGACCCTTTTCTTGGATTTAAATTGGCTTTTTCTTTTGGCTTATCTAGTGTCGCATGCAATCTTAATCCTACATGGGGCAAATTGGAGTTTTGCGTGTTGTATCCTTCTCACTAATTAGCAAGAAGCTAGGATATTCATTCCCAATTGCATTAAGACTGCACAAACGACACGGTATATAAGACGTTGGTGTACTTAGGCAACTTAGGGTTTTTGGACTAAATTATTGGAGGGGTCAACGGCCCACAAGACCCAACACATTTCAACCCTCGGCACATGCCTTGTCCCTATGCCAATGGCATCTAACCCAACACTAATCTTTAGCATATGGTCATTTCCGAGTCTACATATATATATACACACACGTCCATTTCTCTCCGATAAAATCATTGTTGTGGTCGTCGACAAAACCAAGTATATAACTATGGCGAAGTCAATTGAGCTGACCCGTGTCGATGCCGGACTCCCCCTTTCTTTAGCTGTAAACGGGGGGGAATTAACTAATGTTAACGCGTACGGCCATCAAAATGAGTCCGCCCGACCGAGGGGGACGAGGGAACGGTTCTCACAACAACACAATGTCCGGCGCGCACGCAATCATCTCGCGGCCCCCCCTCGATCGGGATCGGGCTCGATAACTCCGCATAAACAGATAAATTAAGACCTAATTATAAACCTTTCGAAGTTTTGATTTTTTGTGTGGGTGCGTGTAAAAATCGTCAAACGTTGAATCGATCTTTAGAAGACGAAAACACGCATGAAAAGAAGAGCCTCCAAATGAGTGGTGTGCTTAGTGGGGAGCCGTACCCCCGCGACCGACTTCTTGTACCAAACCTCTCATCCCTCCCCTTCTTTTCCTCTCCATTAATTCAAAATAACATAAAATAATAATAGTACAAGAAATAAAGGTCAAGAAGGAAAAAAAAGAGGGAGAAGGTGGTGCCAGCTAATATAATGAGCTTTTCAGCTCGTTAATCGGCGCAAATTTCGGCCATGTCAAGTCGGACCATTGCCACTCTTAGGAAAAAGGTGTGATCTTTTGAGCCTCGGAGGATTTTCGATTTAGGGGAAAGAGGATAAGGACTCCTTTTCGGATCATCGGCCACCCCCATCGACACCCGAACCGCACCCAACGCCGAAAAACCGACGGCGAGTGGAGAATGACCGACGGGGTCGTCGACCCGGTCAATTACTTGATGCCGCGATGTGATACTTATGGAACGTGTGCTCTGACTAATCTGTGGAAATTTCGTATGAGTGCATCGCCTCCGAGTTAAGTGTCGCAGATTTTTCCATATCTTTCTGAGGAAAAAGTCACGATGAGAATTTCACGTGACGATATTTAATATACTTATAGGTATGAACGGCGAAAAACTCTATCATGAGATCGTGAACCCTCGATTCAGTGCTTATCGTCGAGCATGTCTTGGGTCCGGAAGAAATGGAGTATTAGTATAGTTTATGTTTCCCCCCCATCAACTGCACGTCGGCAACAGGCATGCAACCCTACCGATAAAAGGATTGAGGGGACGGGGCCGGAGAGTGCCGGGTCTTGAATTTCAATTTCCGTGAACACAATACACACATATGTACAGAGTAAAGATGGGTGAGGCCAAAAAAATAAACTGCTCATCAATGAACGATTCGACTTTCAAAATACTAACTACACAGATCACAATTCGGAATTAGTAATAATAAAAATTTAAAAAACTTACGTTGTAATGTGTACTATTTAATAAACTTCGAATAAATTTATGCAAAGGCCGTCTTCACTCGAAATTTTTTTTTTCAAAAATTTAGGGAAATAGAAGGAGGCAAAATAAAGAAGACGATGATTCCAAAGATGCCAAGCCAGAAGCAAAGCTCGCTTTTGGGATTCGATTGAGCGTCGGGAGTCGCGGTGTCTTCCTCGGGCGCATACCAAAGCACGCGATTTAATTTTTTTTAAAATTTTTTTGCTAGCGACCCCCTTTAATTTAATTCTATTTTATTCATTTAAATCCGGCCTATCTTTGACCACTCCAAATTCAAATTGTTTTTCCTTTTTCGTTTGTCGGAACTCGAACGAAAGCAACAGGAATTAGGTCGTTACGGTGAAACTACCGATGCCCACCATCGTCAAACAAATGGAACTTGACACTAATCAAATTGGGTTTTATCCGACTTAGCACTGAACTGTTTCGCTTGGCTAATGTGGGGACAAATTTGGCGTGGCGAGTCTGTCCAACATCGTAGCAAAGATCTTAACGACGCCTAGTGCGATGCTACGTGACAAGAAGACAGGGGGACGAAAAACTTCCGTGATCTCCTGCGGTTTTGGTGGGTGATTCTTATGGATTTATCGAAGTTAGGGGCAGATTAAAAACTTAGGAGCTGGCTTAGCTAGCGCCCAATCGAAACAGCCTTGTATAAAGTGGATTCCTAGTTTAATGTCTTGCAAGAAATCTACGCACGTATCATCTATATCGAAGAATCGTGTTCCTAAGCCGAGCTCTTTTCATGTGATTGGATGTGCAAGGTGCGCCATGGCGGTCGTATCTTGCTCGCCTGTATCGCTGGCGACGTGCATGCCCCCGTAAAGCGCGAAAAGAATAGCGGATAAGGCCTCGGAGATTCATTTGATGCAGTCGTTCTCTTCAACTAAGACCCTCGTTCAACCCCGAAAGATTTTTGCTAGGGGTGAGCACCGGATCAGGGTAGATCCTGAAAACTGGATTGGGCTGACCCTACCCAGCCAGTTCTCGATTCCGAAAACGGAACTGGCTATTACTGGTCTAGTTCCTTAGTTCTGGGTGTGGAACCGGACCGAGAAGCCTTAATTTCTTCTTTTAGTTTTAACTTGAATATTGTAATCTTGTTGTTGTCGCCTCTTCGTCTGGTTTCTCTCTCCTGCTCTTGGCTCTGCTTTGCCCACTTCTTCACATTTCCTCAACGCAAATCAATCATTCGAAGCTCACGAGCCTCCTGTAAAAATCGGTCACTAGGTTGTACAAGAAGAATCGAAGACGCTCCGTTTATCTGATTCCAGCAGATACGGAAGCTTTTCAGAGAAATTTGCCTTGTGTAACCGAAAAATCGAAGTCTCCAATAACACTCTCAAGGAATAAAAAAACGAAACGAAATGAAAAGGGAATTGACCTCGTTGATATCAAGATTTACGGGGGTAAGTTTCAATTTCAATAAACTGAAAACCGATCGCGACCGGACTCCAAAACCGCTTCCCCCCTAATTGTTGCCACACTGTTAACATTTGCAGCGTGCTCAGCCACCGAAGAAAACCCTTTTGTCAAGTTAAAAAGATGCACTCAGCGCTTGAAAAGCATTCATGATAGGGGAGGGGGCAATTCACATGATTTTACCTAACGAAAACCAAATTTGATTCGACTTGATTTTGATTGAACAACGAGCGAGGGGAATGATGATAGCAACCGGAAAGGGTGGAACAACATGGAGTTACTCGTCGTGCTGTCATTGGTTGCAACGCTGGAAGAGTCGTTAATGCAGAGAAAGATTCTCCCAAAACAGTGTGCGCAGAGGACACATTGCAGCTCAAATGCAATGCTCATCATGGTTTAGGTCAACCATTAATATAAACTAATCATTTTTCAACCGCCCATTTACTATTCTCTTCTTCCCCCTTTGGGGCTCGCACATGACAGCACCATGTTTTGTAATTGCAGCCAACAAACACAGTTGTCTACATGGGTTGTTCCTCATAAAATCCGAAAACTACAGGACAAAGTTCACAAGTTCGGAGACACAGAGAGAATGTGGAGAACTCAAGTCAACCATTGAAACAAGTACTAGAAAAAAAAATAGTCATTTTATGTACAATACTCTCTGCTGCTTTGTAGAAATAACTAATGATTTCATCTACCTAACTCATCTCTCTCTCACTCACCGCCACCAACACCGACACCAACGCAAACTGCAGTATCCATGACCCTCATCCATCATCACTAAACCTTCAACAACACCCTCTCACCACCAATTTGCTGTTTTAACTTTCCTCACCTGTCCTCTTTCTTTTTTCTTTTTTGTTCTGCTCCATTCTGGCTATAATTCAAACCTCCATAAAAAATCAAGCATTTAAAAATTTAATCTTGTATAGGGGGGACCCCCCAATCCTCCAATCCAATCTGGGTCCCCATCAAAATGAACCGACCAACCAACAAACCCTCAAACCCGCCCCTAACTAAACTAGCAAGCTACCATCACCAAATTCCCAACTTTTTGCTGTTCTGCCCTCTTCTGCTATGCACACAGAGCCCCCAATCTGAAGCAAAGAATATGCCGCCACATCAGTGGACGAATCTCCCTACCAATTTGCAAAATACCCTTTTTTCCCTCACTCCCTTCTCTCTCTTTTCAAATTTTCTTTTTGCCCTTTTCAAGTACATGATCTGATCAACCCCAAATTGTACAGATTCCTCCTCACTAGGCTTCCAAGTGACAACAGCACAGCCCCAGCAACCCCAACTGCTTCCTCTCCTTCACTCTCTGGGCTTCTGTGGTAGATCAATGGCACTTCCTTCACTCGCAGTTCGCTGAGCCCGATCCTCTGCCTCACCGCCTCGATGATCTTCAAATCTGCCGGGTTCCCCACTGCATCCGTCACATAGAACACGTTGAAAGCTGTGCCCAACGTGGTGGATATCTCGGCTCTCGTCACGTTGAGGCCGTTCTCGCGGAATGTCCTTGTGACCTCTGCTAAAAGGCCCGGTCTATCGGCCGTGCATAGTTCTAACCTCACACCCTATGAACATAGAGAACATTTCATTAGATTAGAGAACTAAAGAAACAAGAATGGTACTAAATTTGCAAGATAAATGGCGCTTGATCAGTGAAATGTTGGGATTTCTGTAAAATACCTCAGATGCTCTTCTCTCGATAGCAGCTTGCAGACATAAGATCACACGTTGCCTCTCAGCCTCGGAATTAATCGGGGTTCCATCCATGTGCCTAATGCAGAATTCCTGAAACACCATCAACAAACAGTCGAGTCAATATCTTTACCAACTAGCAAACAGGTTTAACTTGTTTTGATCAAAATCAGCAAAGATATATACCAGAGATGCTCTATTCCCAGTAGTATCGATGGTCGCGTGGAAGACGACGTACTCCATATCCGTCAACGTGCACACCACATCGAACAGAAGCTTTGTTCTGTCCTTGCACTCAACGTTCACGACCGAGTAACCCCTCTCGGCCCAATGTTGTACTGTCACTACTGGAGAGTCGCCATTTAGCTGTAGGACCGGCTCCCTCTCATAATCGCGATCCGCAAACATCATCTGGTGCAGTCTTCTCTCGGTGTGTGTCACTGCCAGAGAAACTGACGTCTTCGCGCTCCTAATATCGTTATCTCCCTTGAGAACATTCCTCAACCGTGCTTCGATTCTATCGATCTGCTGCGAGTCCTCGATCGGGGACCCGGAATTGCAGTCCTTGACATATATTAAGGAAGCGATCCTGCCGTTGTGAGTCCACACCTTGGCCTCCACGATATCGCATTGCAGATCGGCCAACACTGCAAACACCTCGGAGAGCAGGCCGACCCGGTCTGTGCCGGTCAGCTCTAGCGCCGTTAGGCCAGTGTAGTCACTGGTGCTCGTATAGTGAATGGTTCCGAGAGACTGCAACAACCAAAACCGGCACTCTCTTTTTAGATACAAACAATGCAATGTTCATGACTAATAAATCACTTGATCCACTTATCCCGGAATTAATTGCTCCCATATTCTAATAGAGTACACATGTAACTAGTTCCACATATATCAGTTACAGTTAGAGAGAACTCTTAAGAGGTTTCAGAATAGTAAATTACCTGTTCCATGTAGCTGATAACGCTCTCATCCGTTAATTTCTTTCCGTTTTGATCGGTCACATGGAAAACTGTAGAACCCAGAAAAATACAAGGCAAGAAAAATCAGGGAAATTGCTCAAAATGCGATCAAGGAAAGTTACTAAATGTAAAGATACCAAGATAAAGACACAACGCCAAGAAAAGAACCAAAAGAGCAAAAATTAAGGAAAAAAGATTTTGGTGACTCACCATCCATGGACCATCTTCCATCGGACGAAATGTAAGCCTTCTTGATGGAAAGGTTGAGATCAGTGAGGATCTGGACCGCCTCCAAGAGAATCCCATGTTTTCTTGCACTGTCGACCTGAAGAAACACGAGCCCAGGACTTGGTCAGACCCGCACAACATTGAACAAGCAGCAAGATATCTCATTTTTTTTCTTTCTTTCTTTCTTTCTTTCTTTCTGGTTTTGTTGAAACTTCTGGAAAAGGGTTTCGTGGAAGCATACCTTGACAATAGTGGCAGCGGGACAAGCACCATTATCAATCACCACCCTGTTAAGAGGACAACAACAGTAACAAACAACCAAGTCAGCGCGAATGGCATCCGGTCCAAAATTCAAAGTCTAGACGACAGACTCTGTCTTTGAACTTTCAAAGGAAGGTTTGCGAAGAAATCTTTTTCCAACCAAAAAATGATTTCTTTCTTGAAATGGAGCAAGTCCCTTACAGAACTTAGCAAGAGATCGGATGGAAAAATTGGGGAACAAAAATCGACCAATCCCAAGCAAGGGGGGGGGGGGGAAGAAAAACAGAGACCCAGAGAGCTCCTCTGCGGTTCTGGGACCAAAGACGGCCTTCACGAGGACCAAGTTGAAAGGACTTGAGGACATGGATCCGGGAACAAACCTCGGGGTGTTCATGCGAAACACGAGCTTCTCGTACTCGTCCTGGCAAGCATGCCACTCCATCTTCTCCATTCTCTGCATCTGCATCTTCTTCCCCCCCTCCTCCTCTCTTCTACTCTCCCCAAAACAACACCAAGAAACCAAACCACCCAGACAAAAGCAAGCAAAAGCCACAAGACCCGGAGGCGAGGAACCCGAAGGGCGCTGCGGTTCGCAACGACGCTGCTGCTGCTGCTGCGGGCCGCGGGCGTGAACAGCGAACGAACGGCAGCGACGACAATGTCGTGCTCCGGATTGTCAGCCTTTTGCCGGGCCTCCTCCTTCGATCGAATCGCTTCGGTTCAAAGGAACACCGCCCCTCGTCGCCGAGAAGAGGAGGAGCTCCTCTGCAACTGCTACCGGCGCTTTCTCTCTCTACAGGGCTAGCGGGGGGGCAGGTCTTTCTCTCTCTAGAGAAGCCTTCCTTTGGTCTTTCAACTCTGAGGACTCTCGCGCTTGAGGTCGCTCTTATATATATATATATACATGCAGGTAGTTTTCTTTAAATTAAATGAGGAAATCTTATTTTTTTTACTAAAGGTATTTTGCAGTATGAGAAATTTATTTATTTATTTGCTTTATTTGTTTGTTTATTTATTTATGGCAATTAGCAAAAGGAATGGAGAGAGAGAGAGAGAGGAGGGGGATGGGCCACATGGCGTGAGTAGCGCGTGCCCCGGACGGACTGTCCGGCCCGACCCACCTCCCGCCCTTTTTTCTTTTTTCTTTTTCTTTTTGGCCCCCTCCCCCCCACTACTTGAAAATAGGGAAAAAAACCCTAGAAATTTAAAAAAGTAATTCTGAATAACCAACTCGATTTAGAAATTGGATAATGACTTTAATAGTTTCTGAACTTTGCCCAATGTGCAATGTAGTCCATGAGCTTTTAATTTGTTCGATGTGTCCCTAAACTTTAACCCGATATGCAATGTGATCCCTGAACTTTTAATTTATTCAATGTAGTCCTTTTATTAATTCAAGTTCAGGGATTACACGGAACATTTTCATATAATTCAAGCGTTACATCGAGCATGTACCAGAAGCCTATGGGCCACATTGCGAATGAGGCCAACGTTCAGTAACTGTTTATGTCATTATCCCGTTTTAAATTAGGCGCAATCCGGGAAAAAAAAATCAGACAGCAAGTCGAGTTAAAATCCTCGATCGGATGGATGGGGTCGGCATTGCGGCTCCGGGGCTGTATCCAGAGTGCTTCTTAAAAGCAAATTTAATAATAATAAATAAAAAAAAGAGAGTGATCGAAGTTAAACTTGGGATTGTATGTTTGTACTAGCAAAGATAGTCCCGTCCATGATCGAAAGGAAGAGATAAATTAGGTCGATCCGGCCGACCGTTCGGCACGTGACGAGAGGCCCGCTCGGGTCGGGCGGCTCTTTCCCTTGTCCATTTAAAACTTTATCGGGGCCGGTTCCTCTGTACCTCTCGCTGTACCTTCCCCCTCGTAACGAACTTTGGTTCCACCGAATATGCCCCTCCCACAGCTCCCCCCCTTACAGTTATTCCCCCGCTTGTCCTCCTAGGCGGGGAGGTCAAAGTCGTCTTTTCACGCGCTCCCCCTTTCAAAAGATATCGAGCGCCGGATCGGGGAGAGTGCTCCGATCCAAACGGAAGAGTCCAATCTTTGAGCTGCCACCTGCCATCACTAACTTCAATTCGCTAAATGAACAAGTCCAAAGGCCAAGCCATATGACAAGGAATCAAGGCGCCCGGGGTCGCGCCATACTAGCCATTCGGGACTCATCGGTATTTTCGCCACCCTGAAACCATCCAGCTAACCCCGACCCTGCCCCCCTTCCCTCGGGAGGACTGATCGAGCTGTGAAACGACTGTAATCTCGCGCCTCGAGAAGTTCGAGCGAATCGGGTTTTTTCTCTGTGGAATGAACGAACCAAAAAAGCCATCCGAAACACCACCGCGGCCGCCACTCGATCGGGTCGTCACCGTCCTCCTCCTCCTCGTCCTCAGTTAGCGTAGGGTTGGTGGTGGTATCTCGCGCTTTTACTTCGCTTTGGACTCACTCGGGCACAACTGTGGGCGGGCAGCGTTGGCGTGGCCGCGGAGGCACGATCTTGGGGGGTCGCTCGTCACGCCCCCGGCCACGTGTCGGGACAGGGTTGGCCCGACAGGCGTCCCCCCAGCCCGCCCATCTTGTCTCGCCCCGTCACGTGCCCCTCGTCAGAGGAACACGTTCCCGGGTTTCCTTCGGAGTCAAGCCCCCTTTGTCTGTCTGTCAGCGTGCCACCGTCGCATTAACCACTCCCCCGCCCCCCCCCCGTCCCCCCGACTTCGCTTTCCATAAAGCAAGAAAATGAAAAATTCGCGATCCGCCGGAATTTTCACGGCCGCAGGATCCTCGTGGCCCCGCCGCCACGATGCCGCCACGTGGCCGGGACGTCGTGATGAATGTTTTTCCCGCGACGTGCGTGGCACTAACGAACGAAGAATTGAATGCTGCGGGTGCGGGGGAGGGGGAAAGTCCTGATGCCGCGAGGAGGCGAGGCGTCGTGTTTAACGGCGCGCCGGTTAAAGCGCGGGGTTCGATGGTTGATGCTGAAAAGACGCCTTCGCCCTTCCCCCCCGGGTCGACCCGGCGAAGCCCTTGGTTTTTTCTTTTTATTTTTTCTCTTTTTAAATTTGTGTTCCGAACATAAAATTAAGTTAATTTTTCCGGTTAGTCTCCCTCTACTGAATCTACTCTGCCATTTTCTCTCTCATTCATTCCTCCCTAACACAATCATCGAAGCTCGAAGGCTCGAGCGCGTGTTCATGGCGCCTTCTCAAGGTGCATAAACCCATTTAGACAAAATCGATCTCTCGCTAAGCTTACTCCCGAGTTCTATCTTAACGATTATTCAGAACGGGGAGTAAGCTAGATGTTCCTACATGCAGCTAAAGAAGACCCGGCTTCTTTTTCTTTAAATTGAGGTGATATTTCCTTTACAGGAGGCGTAACATGTGTAGGCATCTTGCAAATGCAACGTTCAAAGTGCGATGAGGATTTTCTTTTCCTTTTTTCTTTAGAAAAAAAAAAAGGAAGAAGGAGAAGAAAGCTCCGCACGGGACATAAAAAAGATAAAATCTCTCTTTTCACCCGGAAAGAAAGGAAAACGAAAAAAAAAAAGGAGGGGGGGAAACGCGAATTCGAAGGAGGAAGAGAACCGGCGGGAAACCGGCGACCTTCCCGCCAAATCGAGGCGGCGGTGGGTCCACGTCATCACGGATGTCACAGCCGCCCGGCCCGAATCTGATAACGTGAGGAGGAGGAGGAGGTGAAAAGCCAACGGGGTGGACCCCCACCACCCCCCGTGTCTTTGACGTGGCCATTACCTCGGTTGGCGAAAATGCGTGATTCCTGAGACAAGAACTTTATTCGAGAAGCCGTATGAAATCATATTGTCCCAAAAGCACAAAAAATAAATAGAGTCGAGTCGGAGCTCACGGAAAATTAAAGTTCGGAGTTAACTCGACCCAAATTTCGCGCAACTCGGCATTTGATGGGGGGGTCTCGATGGAGCTCGATGTCCCTAATTCGAGCACACGGATTTTGCTAAGTTAGGCAAGTAAATATTTGGATTATTATCACGAGAAATCTCAAACTATATCTACCGTAACAAAAAAATCTCAAACTTTTTTGACATGTCACAGAAAACTTAAATTTGGTCCATCGTGATGCGAAAACCCAAAAAATTCGAGATATTTTTTTATCACGTTAGACATAATTTGGGGTGTTTTATGACACTTGTCCTAAATACTTTCTATTCGAGTCATGTGGATTTGATTTTTTTTTTTTGGGGGGGTAAAACGGTCGATTTGATTAAAAGTTGCCTCAAATTCGAACTCGAGCTTCTCGCCTCCGCAGAGCTGACACGTGGGACGACAGCTAGGACGTCGGCCAGCGGGGCCCACGGTCCACCCACCTCCCCGGATTTTTCCTCCTCCTTTTTTTTTTTTACCTTCGAAATTGAAAAAGAAAACGCCTTTCGACGTGGGTTTTTCCCCCTTTTTCCCCCCCCTCTGATCTTTTCCTCCTTTTTTGACCGTATATTTTCCCCCACTTTCCAGAACCCCCGTTCACACCCGTCCGTGCGGTCTTCGGGTTCGGGTCTCGACGAGAGACAGACAGCAATACAGCTTTGCATGCATGAATGAACAGTACGGCGCCGCACATCTCTCCCCCCCCCCCCCCCCCTCTCCTCGAGACACTCGCCGCATGTTTTCCTCCCCAACGTGACTCCCACCATCACTACATGTCGCAATAAACAAACCATTCACAATTATTATCCTACATCGATTCGCCCCGTCATGAAAACTTCGGAGATCTCACTTCATTTTATCATTTTCCACCCTCCTTTTTTTCATCTTCTTCTTCGATCCGGAATCGTGGACTTTCTTATACGTTCTGCTCTGAATTCGGGACGCGATTGTGTTTTTTTTCCGACCCGCTTTTACGTGATTTCCGCACCTGCTCCATCTTCCGTCGGGTGTCGGGGGAAAATTCCACCCCCTCGATCCTCGTGCCGTCCCCCCCCCCCCCCCCCCCCCCGCGCGCGTGGGGCCCCGGGGGCACGGCGGTGTCGTGAGATCTTAGTTGGGGAGGGTCGGACGGAGAAGGGAGGAGAGGAAGATATCTGGTCAAAGCGAGACTGCACGTGATTGCGACGCTTTAGGGTATTTGCTTCGTTCGTGGTACATCACTAACTTTCCTCAATCGACAATCGACAATCAACTCTTGGGTTTAATATAACAAATTCGCGTGCGATCGGGAAATGCTAGACGAGCTTGGGGTATAGTTAAGATCTGCGAGCGTGTAGATGGCACGACGAGGGGTTTTTAAGTTTAGTATTCGGTCGTGCGCGAGAGGATCCGACCCATTACTAGAGTAAAAGATTTGTGTCGACGAGCGATCTCGAGTCGGTACCTTCTGCTCGATAAAGTTGCACAACGCAGTTTCGAGTTTTCGATTGTGAAGATATTTACAAGGTTCGCGAGAAAACTAATGCTTTTGTGGTCTCTTCTGGCAATTACGTATGTTGATTCGATACATGCCACGCAAAGAATGTACAAATGTCGAACCGTCGCGTTCATAGAACCAAATGTGTTAGTAGGAACTGTAACGACCAGGTTTAATGAGGATGGGAGTGGTTGTTGGGGTTAGAGGTCATGACAGGTTTCTAGGATGACGAAAGGGATAGGAATGAATCGAATTGCACACTGAATATGGGGAGAGCGTGTTTGGGACACATATATGTAAAAACTAAAATTAACTCACGAATGTGTCTTTTGACGTAATGGTAAGTTTTGCTCTGGAACTCTAAAGTTCAGCGTGCTCAAGTTAGAACATTACTAGGACGGGCGATTTCTTGAGAAAGTGCGTGCCTATATGTCCAAAGGACAAAACCACTCGCGACGGATCAAAGC